CTCACACCTGTAATCCTAGCACTCTGGGAGGAAGAAGACCTCTTGAGCCCAGGAGTTCAAGACCAACCTAGGCAAACAGCCAGACTCCATTATCTATTTTGTGTGTGTGTGTGTGTGTGTGTGTGTGTGTGTGTGTGTGTGTGTGTGTGTGTGTGTGTGAGAGAGAGAGAGAGAGAGAGAGAGAGAGAGAGAGAGAGAGAATGAATTATGAGGTCAGGAGTTTAAGACCAACCTGGCAAAACCCTGTCTCTACTAAAAATACAAAAAAGTAGCCGGGTGTAGTGGCTCATGCCTGTAATCCCAGCACTTTGGGAGGTTGAGGCGGGCAGATCACCTGAGATTGGGAGTTTGAGACCAGATTTACCAACATGGAGAAACCCCATCTCTATTAAAATTACAAAATTAGCCAGTCATGGTGGTGCATGCAAAAAAAGGATTGCTTAAACTCAGGAGATGGAGGTTACAGTGAGTCGAGATCGCGCCACTACACTCCAGTCTGGGTGACTGGAGTCTAGAGCAAGACTATGTCTCAAAACAAAACCCTATCATTGCCAATCCATACGGTAAACAATAAAAATTTCAATACACCATTTCCATAACAAAATGTTCACTAGAGTATTTTTTGAACTCATGTAAATAAGATCTTAGGTGTTTAAAAGCTAAATTATGTAAACAGTTGATATTTACAAAGGTTTTTTGTTTTGTTTTTTTTTTCTTGAAAAGGGACAGGCTGGGCGTGGTGGTTCATGCCTAAAATCCCAGCACTTTGGGAGGTCAAGTGGCAGATAACCTGAGGTCAGGAATTCAAGACCAGCCTTACCAACATGGAGAAAACCACCCCCCCCCCCCCACCTCTAAAAACAAATAAAAAAAAAAAAAAAAGATCAATCACTAACCACACAAGACCCAAAAATGACATGGCTTGTAGAAAATTTTTAAACTGAGAAAATTTAATTAGGCAGGAGAATCTTAATTTAGCAATAAAACACTTCCTTGCACTCCAGGTTTTTCTCTTCCAGTTTCTACTGCCTTCTAGTTAAAGTCTAACTGACAGAAGAAAAAGAAAAAGTAAAACTCCAGTTGCCAGGTTACAGTGGCTAGGAAATCAATATGGAACAAAGGCCACCCACCCATCAAATATTCTCTAACTTATAGAAATTAAAAATATAGCATATGTTCACTATGACAATTTGTTTTCAAGGCTAAACACTGACAATTTTATTTTGGGGATTTGTTCCTACACAGCTGAGTGAGGACAAAGTTAAGACTTTTACCAAAATCAGGGATGCATGGTTTCTGTACAACTTCCTAATTATATACAAGACGTTAGACAGGAAAAACAATGACTTCAAATACCCGTAAAGTAAATAAAATATTTTACTTTTTAATCTATTTTTAATTGGTCCAACGGCAATGGTTCAAAAAGAAAATGCGAAGTAGCACTCTGCAAGGTTAGTTAAGCACAAAATCTTAAATGGGAGAAAGACCTAAAATCCCAGCCTTCTCCAAGATAGGTCCAAAATTAAGAGCTTTTTTATAAATTATGAGACAAACTTTCATAACTTAGGATTTAAAGAAATGTAACTAGGAAATCGCTAAAGAGCAAATGAGTAAATCAAATGAGAAAACATATTCCCAAGCCCTTAATGCAACCAGCATAAATCTCTCTCTCCAAATCTTTAAAGAGAGAGAGGAAAAAAAAAAAAAAGTTTTATTAACCAGGCCTGGAGGTGCTTGCCAGAAGTCTTAGCTACTCAGGAGACTGAGGCAAGGAGGATCGCCTGAGCGCTGGAGGTGAAGTGGAGGTTGCTGTGAGCCGAGATCGTGCCACTGCACTCTAGCCTGGGCGATAGAGCAAGACCCTGCCTCAAAAAAATAAAATAAAATAAACCCTCATCAGCCAGATTCTTCCTAGAACTGAATGACGGACCCAGAAAAGGATTCTTCCACGTCAAACAACTGACTTACAACATTCATTTTGCAATTTCATTTAAATCTTTAACTTGTAGGAGTCCCTGAAGAATTTAACAAATGACACATACTGAATATTTCTAAAAGTATGAGATTAGCTGGCGTCTCTTCAAAACATTCGTTTTCTCCCTCAACACCCTGCATGTGGCATCGGATCACTTGTTTTGAAGGTAGCTTTCTTTTCTTTTTAACTAGAGAGGCTACTTTTTGGAATAGCCTCTCTACTGCTACCCTTTCTCTTTTTTTTGGTGAGACGGAGTCTCCCCTCTATTGTCCAGGATGGAGTGCAATGGCTCAATCTCGGCTCAGTGCAACCTCCACCTCCCGGGTTCAGGCGATTCTCCTGCCTGAACCGCCAGAGCAGCTGGTATTACAGGTGAGCACCACCACACCCAACTAGTTTTTGTATTTTTAGTAGAGATGGGGTTTCACCATATTGGCCAGGCTGGTCTCCTGATCTGACCGCCTGAGCCTCCCAAAGTGCAGGACAGGTGTGAGCCACTGCGCCCTGACTTACACTTTATTTTCATTCAAGCTTTTTAATCTACTTACATAACTTAAGTCATTTCTTACCTATTTAAATATCTTATGTGGCCTCCAGAAAGTGCTTCTACCCCAAGCCAATTTTAAACGTATTTTTCGCGAAAAGATTTGTTCAGCTGTATTAAAAGTTACTCATACCTTATCTGACAAAAATTTTCCCCTTATCGATTTTGAGTATAAAAGGTTAAGACTGAAGTCCCTCCTACATTACTTAGAAGGGAAAAGCAAAAGCTATTTTACATAGATTCGGATTTGTAAAAACCCCGTTTACGTACCACTTTCAGGGAGGGGGCTCCTCCAAAATTCTAATTTACGCCCTTACAGTTAATACACGCTGTGCTCTAGAAGCTTGTTCTCAGTGACAAACTGGCTTCAGCGTATCCCTCACTCATCCCTTTAGACTTTTAGCCGATATACTCACTGTCAGTGTCATGGCTTGAATTAAGTAAACCCTTGAATGTTTGTTACTTTTCCACAGGAATAAAGTTACTCTCCTCATCTCTCTCCTAAATGGAGTTTGGGGGGGAGAACACTCACTCCGCCTTCAATTGTTCTCCATATCTTTTAAGACTTAGCTAATAACTTAAAAAATAACGTGCCGTCCAAAAACCAAAACCAAACCCTGTGAAACCGGGAGCCCTCCCTGGACGCGGCAGGGCCATGAATTCTTATTCGGTTAAAATCAACCAAGACTTTCCTTTACCATAAAACGAAGATTGCTGTAGAATTTGTATTCACCTACACACCATCAAATTTAAGCTCTTTAGGACAACTGTAAGTTAATTACATATCTATTTCAACCTGCACTGAGGCAGGTTAGTGAAACCTCACCTAAAGTTTAACATGGAACACTGAAAATGTCTGTAGGTATCCTTCCAAAGTCGACACGTGCCCAACTACCTGCTCAATGGTAACTCCTCGCTGCCAGGAAGCGGCTGAGTTCTGGCAACCTCCCATGTTTTCAACAGACTGGAGTTAGGAGGCGGCCTAGAAGTACCCACACTCAAGAAACCCAGACACAGGAGAGGGAAGTAAGTTGCGGCATGGGCATGGCTTCCCTCTAGTTGCCTAGCAGTACCCTGCAGCTCACGGCGAGGCCCGCGTGGGGCTCTCCCAGGAGCTCCGCCAGGTACCTGGCGGCACCCACCACAGGTGCGCTCGGCCCAGGGACCACGGAGCAGCAGAAGTGGAGCGCCCAGGCAGCCGTGAAGCGACCCACGAGGGTTCACGCTTCAGGGCGCCGCATGGCGAGCAGCTCCCAGGAGCTCAAGGCCTAGGGTGAAGTTACAGAAAGAAGCGAGTCGGCCAGACGGCCAAAGGGGGAAAAGTAGCATTTCCGGCACGGTGAAGCCAAGGGACGTTTTAGAGGTGGGGGAAGCGGACATCTGGAGGAAAACGTCCTCCACCCGCCAACGGTAACCGGAACAAGGATACTAGACCCCCCCGCCCCCAAGCAGGCAAGGCTGCCACCACCGATGCGAGAAAGGCTGGGGGGTCGAGAGTGGAAGGAGGGCCGGGGCCGTATTCCGGGAGCCCCCGACGCGGCCTTGGCCTCACTTCGGGCGACCTTCCCTCGGCGGGGTGTCGCACTCACATTGTGAACGGGGCAGGGGGACGGGCGAACGGGTGGGCGGGCCTCTCCGGCGGCGGCTGCTGCTAAGTCGACTTCTCTCCGGTGGCGACTCCGCGTTTTGTCCCCGGTCGCGGCCTCTTCTCGCTTCCCTCAGGCGACGGCGGTAGCGGCGGGCTCGACCTAGCTCCCCAGAATGCACCGCGCGGAAAGAGCAGCTCCTCCGGTCGGGGAGAAGAGGAAAGTGTAGGAAAAGGGGCGCGAGGACGGAGAATGAACGTGCGTGCGTGCGAACGAGGGGTGGTGAGGCCGGGCGGCGGCTGGTGACGCAGCAAAATGCCCGGGCCTTGCCACCGCGCGTGCGCAGTCCTTGTTTTCGGGCTCCGGCACGGCTTTCTAGAGATATCTACGGAAAGGGCGGGGCCTCCCAGCTCCTTCGCGATCCTTCCTGGCGCCGGCCCCGCCCTTCGTCCGCCACCCTTCCCCCACCCCGGGCCCCGCTAGTCCTTACGCGTTCCCGCCTCTCCTCCCGCGCTCTCCTCTCGCGTTAAAAAACCGTTGGTCGCCCAACCGCCCGGCCACGCGCCTTGGGCGATTTCTCTGAGAAACCGCTGCGTTGGCAGCAGGAGGCAAGGTCGTGGCGGAGGGACGCGGAGTCGGGATCGTGGGGAATTGAAATGGAGCGTTGGTTACTCTTGAGGGAGTAAATCAGCTCACTCAGGAAACATTCCACCACAAAAACGTGAAAAGCCTGTGCTGTGGAAAAGGGCCCACTTCACCATTTTTCTGAAGGTTGGAGGCTCTGTCCAGGGACAGCGGAAATTCGAGGTTCTTGGCGGAGGAGGAGCATTTGCCTCTGTCTTGAGACCTTAGTGCTGTAGATGAGCCACGAAGGATATTTGAGGGGAGAGTCTAGGTTTCTGGTATGGAGAGACTGAGACACTTTGTGTCTCCACGCACATAATTTGGGGGAGAAGGGGTGCCCCGTCGTTTCCTGCAACACACTGCTAGGTTGTAGTAGGCGGTAGTAACGGAGAGACCCAACACAGTCCTGCTTACCAAGAGGCTGCTTAATGGTGGAGTAGGGGAGAAATACTGCAGTGCACTGCATTTTGAACAGGAAGAAGGTTTAAGGAAAGTGCTATATGTCTGAAGAATGGGGCTTCATAATAAGCATTAGGGTGGTTAGTGTCTGCTGTACAAGGCAGATTATTGGGGAGGTATGAAACGTGGACCCTAGCTCAGATGCCGTTAAAGAGGGAAATTGGGCTGGCGCGGTGGCTCACGCCTATAATCCCAGCACTTTGGGAAGCCAAGGATGGTGGTTCCCTAGGTCATGAGTTCGAGACCAGCCTGACCAACATAGTGAAACGCCATCTCTACAAAAATACTAATTAGCCGGGCATGGTGGCATGCACTTGTAATGCCAAAAACTAGGGAGTATGAGGTGGGAGGCTAGCTCAAACCCGGGAGGCGGAGGTTACGGTGAGCAGAGATCATGCCACTGTACTCCAACCTGGGCGTCAGAGTGAGACCCTGTCTCAAAAAAGAAGGGGAGTTGGCCCAGCGCAGCGGCTTAGAAGTACAAAATTAGCCAGGGGTGGTGGCGTGCACCTGTAATCCCAGCTATTCGGGAGGCTGAGGCAGGAGATTCACTTTAACCCAGGCGGCAGAGGTTGCAGTGAACTGAGATCGGGCCGTTGCACTCCAGGCTGGGCAAAAAGAGCAAAACTCCATCTCAAAAGGAAAAAAAAAAGGGGGGAAGTTAATGACCAGCGCTCGTTGTTTTAGTCTTACTCTATCGCCCAGACTGGACTGCAGCGGTGCGATCACAGCTCATTGCAGCCTCGACCTCCCAAACTCGAGGAATCCTCCCCTCCAGCCTCCTGAGTAGCTGGGACCACAGGATGAGCCATTGTGACCTGGCCGCCAGCTCTTAAATATTATTCTATACTTATAAGGAGGCTACTAAAGGGGAAAACAAAATACACAAATGGAGATAGCCTAGTGCTATAATGGGAGTACATAAAAGTAATGGGGGCCGGGCGTGGTGACTCGCACCTGTAATCCTAGCACTTTAGAAGGCCAAGGCAGGTGGATCACCTGAGGTTAGGAGTTCAAGACCAGTCTGGCCAACATGGCGAAACCCCATCTCCACTAAAAAAAAAGAAAATTAGCCCGGCATTGTGGCATATGCCTGTAATCCCAGCTGCTAAGGACGCAGAGGCAGGAGGATAGCTTGAACCTGGGACATAGAGGTTGCAATGAGCCAAGATCGTGCCTCTGCACTCCAGCCTGTGCAACAGAGCGAGACTCTGTCTCCAAAAAAAAAAGTAATGGGAGCACAGGCCAGGTGCTGTGGCTCACACCTGTAATCCCAGCACTTTGGGAAGCAGAGGCAGGCAGATCACTTGAGGTCAGGAGTTCAAAACCAGCCTGGCCAACAAGGTGAAACCTCGTCTCCACTAAAAATACAAAAAAATTAGCTGGGCATGGTGGTGTGCACCTGTAATCCCAGCTGCACTGGAGGCTGAGGCAGGAGAATTGCTTGAGCCCAGGAGGCAGAGTTTGCAGTGAGCCGAGATCATGCCACTGCACTCCAGCCTGAGCAACAGATCAAGACGTCATCTCAAAATAAAAATAAATTAGCCTGGTGTGGTGGTACATGCCTGTCATCCCAACTACTGGGGAGGCTGAGGCAGGAGAATAGCTTGAATCCGTGATGCAGAGGTTGCAGTGAGCTGAGGTCACGACACTGCACTTCAGCCTGGGCAACAGAGGGAGACTTGTCTCAAAAAAAAAAAAAAAGTGAAAACTGGCCAAGCACAGTGACTCATGCCTGTAATCCCAGCACTTTTGGAGGCCGAGGCAAGAGGTCGAGACCATCTTGGCCAACATTGTGAAGCCCTATCTCTACTAAAAATATATAATTAGCTGGGTGTGTTGGCACTTGCCTGTAATTCCAGCTACTTGGAAGACTGAGGTAGGAGAACTGCTTGAACCCAGTGAGCCGAGATCGCGCCGCTGCACTCCAGCCTGGTGACAGAGCAAGCCTCCCTCTCAAACAAAAAAAAAAAAAAAAAAAAAAAGTGAGAACTAACTGGGCGTGGTGGCTCACGCTTGTAATCCCAGCCCTTTGGGAGCTGAGGTGTGTAAATCATGAGGTCAGGAGTTTGAGACCAGCCTGGCCCACACGGTGAAACCCCATCTCTACTAAAAATACAAAAATTAGCTGGATGTCTTGGCAGGCACCTGTAATCCCAGCTACTCGGGAGGCTGAGGTGGGAGAATGGCTTGAACCTGGGAGGCAGAAGTTACAGTGAGTCAAGAATGCCCAACTACATTCCATTCTGGGCAAGACCCAGGGCAACAGAGTGAGAATCTCCTCTAAAAACAAAAAGCGGCCGGGTGCGGTGGCTCAAGCCTGTAATCCCAGCACTTTGGGAGGCCGAGACGGGTGGATCACGAGGTCAAGAGATCGAGACCATCCTGGTCAACATGGTGAAACCCCGTCTCTACTAAAAATACAAAAAATTAGCTGGGCATGGTGGTGCGTGCCTGTAATCCCAGCGACTCAGGAGGCTGGGGCAGAAGAATTGCCTGAACCCGGGAGGCGGAGGTTGCGGTGAGCCGAGATCGCGCCATTGCACTCCAGCCTAGGTAACGAGCAAAACTCGGTCTAAAAAAATAAAATAAAATAAAATAAAAGCTATTTACCTGTAAAAATGAAATGTATTGAAATATTTTTAAAATGGTCTTCTGCCAGGCGCAGTGGCTCACACCTGTAATCCCAGTACTTTGGGAGGCTGAGGTGGGTGGATCACTTGAGGCCAGGAGCTCCAGACAGTCTGGCCAACGTGGCAAAACCCTGTCTCTCCTAAAAATACAAAAATTAGCTGGGTGTGGTGATACATGGCTTTACTCCCAGCTACTTGAGAGGCTGAGGCAGGAGAATTGCTTGAACCCCAGAGGTGGAGGTTGCAGTGAGCTGAGATCACACCATTGCACTCCAGCCGGGGCGACAGAGGGAGACTCTGTCTCAAAAAAAAAAAAAAAAAGTTCTTCTACCCCACATCCCTAACCCCCAGGCTGTGGCAGTTCCCAGGCTGTGGATAGGTACTGGTCTACTGTCTATTAGGAACTAAGCCACACAAGAGGTGAATGCTTCGTGAGCCAGCATTACTGCCTGAGCTCTTCTTCCTGATCAGTGATGGCATTAGACTCTCATAGAAGTGTGAACCCTATTGTGAACTGCATATTCCAGGGATCTTGGTTGCCCTTGGTTTATGATAATCTTTTTTTTTTTCTTTGATACAGGGTCTCTCTTGCCCAGGCTGGAGTGCAGTGGCATGATCTTGGCTTACTTCAACCTCCGCCTTCCGGGTTCAAGTGATTCTCCTGCCTCAGCCTCCCTAGTAGCTAGGATTATAGGTACCTGCCACTGTATTTTTGTATCTTTAGTAGAGATGGGGTTTCATCATGTTGGCCAGGCTGATCTCGAACTCTCAACCTTGGGTGATCCACCAGCCTTGGCCTCCCAAAGTGCCAGGATTACAGGTGTAAGCCACCACACCCAGCCTGTTATGAATCTAATGCCTGATGGAACAGTTTCATTCCAAAACCATTCCCCCACCATGGAAAAAATTATCTCGCACAAAATTCATTTCTGCTGCCAAAAAAGTTCTATCTCAACCATAACCTTGTAGTATTTTCTACATATGTAGTTCATATTATGAAAAATAAGATTATTGACTGGTCAGGGTGTTCATTCCTATAATCCCAGTTCTTTGGGAGGTCAAGATGGGAGGATTGCTTGAGCCCAGGAGTTTGAGACCAGCCTGGACGATGTAGGGAGAGCCTGTCACTATAAAATATAAAAAATTAGCCAGGTGTGTTATATGGTGATGCTGGGATTACAAGCATGAGTCACTGTGCCTGGCCTAGTGGACACATTTCTTCTTCTTCTTTTTTTTTTTTTTAAAGATGGGGTTTCACCATGTTGGTCAGGCTGGTCTTGAACTCCCGACCTCAGGTGATCTGCCTGCCTTGACCTCCAAAGTGCTTGGATTACAGGCATGAGCCACCATGCCCGGCCCATATTTCTTTTTTTTTTTTTTTTTTTTTTTTTGAGACGGAGTTTCGCTCATGTTACCCAGGCTGGAGTGCAATGGCGCGATCTCGGCTCACCGCAACCTCCGCCTCCTGGGTTCAGGCAATTCCCCTGCCTCAGCCTCCTGAGTAGCTGGGATTACAGGCACACGCCACCATGCCCAGCTAATTTTTTGTATTTTCAGTAGAGACGGGGTTTCACCGTGTTGACCAGGATGGTCTAGATCTCTTGACCTCGTGATCCACCCGCCTCGGCCTCCCACAGTGCTGGGATTACAGGTGTGAGCCACCGCGCCCGGCTCCCGGCCCATATTTCTTGAGTGAGAACACTGCTGTCATATTTTTCTCACTATTCTCAGTGCCTAGCACATAGTAGATGCTCAAAAATGTTTGTTGCATATATTAAAAATTTAGCTGTAATGGAGAAAAAACTAAAAATACAAAAATTAATAAAAACAAAACAAAAAAATACAAAAATTAGCTGAGCATGGTGGCGTATGCCTGTAATGCCAGCTACCCAGGAGGCTGAGGCAGGAAAATTGCTTGAACTGGGACCCAAGAGGCAGAGGTTGAAGTGAGCCATCTCTGGTGGCATGCACCTGTAGTCGTAGCTACTTAGGAGGCTGAGGTGGATGGATCACTTGAGCCCAGGAGGTCAAGGTTGAAATGAGCTGAGATCATGTCATGTACTCCAGCTTGGGTGACAGAAACACTATGTCAAAAAAAAAAAAAAAAAAAAAA